TATATAACAAATTCTCCCAAGCTTATTTGAAACAATTATTTAGTAATAATATGACAAAACAATGTGAAAGAAACAGCTGTTTAGCATCAGTTATTTAAAATATTTGTATCCTATAAATTATTTTAATCCTATTTGCGTTTTCTAAAATATTGACATAAAATCATGCCAGTTTATTTTATATGCAAAATCACATAGTATGCTGGATGACACTTAAAAGAAATGAAACAGTAACAGTAGCTTATTTTCTGAGGCAATCTTGACACTAATGCTAAATTACAACTTGAAAACATCTAGCATTTTTACCTTTATGAGAAAAGGCTTTTTACATATTTAACATAATTTCAAAAAAAAATAAACTAGAATTATGTATAAAGATATGTACACTGTAACCAAAGGGCATTTATATTCCCCTGTAAAATACTTACAATGATTTTATGGCCATTTTGTGTCATTTTCTAAAGGATATAAAATACAGCCAGTAAACAAACTAGACTTTAGATTTAAGTTGACAGCTGCTCCTTCAGAAGCAATATTCAGATATTTAATCTTGAGAATATTGAATAGTTTACAACCAAGTAAAGTATACTTTTGCAAAAATGAAAGACTGTGTGCTTTGACTTATAATTTTTGTAGCTGTGGTGATCAACACAGCCACCACTACCAACACCCAACATCCTTAAATCCCAGAGAATAAATCCAAATGTTGACCCTTTGTTCAATTAATCCCTCAAGGAAATTAACCTAAGTACTGTACTTTTTCAAAATGCAAAACATCCTTTTTTAAAATGATATTGATTCAACCATAACTTATAGAGGGTCATATTATTTCTAGTTCTATATTTGAAATCTACAGTTTTAATCTTATTTTAATAGACTTTCCTCCTAGTTCAGATTGTTGTGCTTCAGGTATAGCAACCTGAATTCTGCTGAGGCGAAATTCTACTTCATTTCACAACCATCATGGACTGTACTAGACCTCCAAATATTGCTGTCTTGTTGCATCAGTGAATTAGTGCTCTGAATACATATGGCTTATGTTAAGTGGGCAAATAAAATACAAATTTACTTTCAGAATGCTGTTTCTACTTTATCCTTCCTCCTCCTCATCCCCCAACTGTATTTATAATGGCCTCTCACTGAAGCTTTATCAATGTTGTGTATTTTTAGTAGCTGGGTACAACCAATCCCACTAGCTTGATTGTAAAGTCAGTTTCACTGTTCCAGTTAGACACTTGAGGATATACCTACTCTTTTAAGCAACCAATTCACTATCTCTTTCTTAAAGCCTGTTTTAGCCAGAGTGTTTCTTAAGAGATCCAGATACTTCTTTCTGTCAAAGAGGACCAGTCCTGCTTCTAGCACAAGACAGAAGGAGCTTAGGTATGCTGTTGCCTCCACTGCTAGGGGGATCACCATCAAACACTAACTTTTCAGGGCCCAAAAGATTCTTGTCTGTCTTTGCAGAAATCATTTTCCAGTCACACTGACTGGCAATGACACAGTGGTGTTCCTTGCTTACATTCTATTAGTTCCCAATAAAATTTCCTAACACCATGACAGCAGGGCCCTCAGTGGCTTCAGCCTCAGTCACATAGTGTGCCAGAGCTAATTTTCCTGCACAAAAATGTTGATTCTGACAGTTTTTGCCCATTTTTGTTGTTGCTTTTATGGAGGGGTAGAATTTGGAGTTCCTTAGATGATGACCCACATTATTTCTTGAAGATGAATTCTGACAGTACAATTACCAAGTCAAAGAATATGAGAATGTAAAAGGATAGATGTTTATGTGTGTGTGTGTAATATATGTGTACATCTGTGTGTATGTGCATGTATACAAATTGCCCTTCAGAAATATGAACAAATGTATAACCACAACTGCGGTGAATGAAAAGCTTATCCAGTATTTTATAGTTTTTAATTAAAAAAAATTTTTTTGGCTCCTATTACCCTCCTATAATGTAATGGAATAATGCTATGGTTGAAATATGAATCCACTTGAATAGCACACTTCAATCCTTTTCTACCTCTAAAAGATATTACTTGACTAGGCTGGTTTTTTGTCTATTTCCAAAGCATGATCCATTTTGTCATAAGAGCTAAGATGTTTCTAATTATTTTTTCTAGCAACATTTCTTCCCATTAATCAATGGAATTCATAAAATAAAATATGACTACAGTATTATTTGTTTAGTTTTAGCACATATTATGTGAAATAGATGACTACACAGATTGATAAAAATGTTCTGAGATCTCTTTTTAGTCACATAGCAGTAACTGGAAAGTGAACTGTCTTGTACAGAGCTAACTTAGAAGTGACAACTAATAAGTTTCCTTAACAACTGTATTCGATACTAGTTATATTTTTATTCCATCTTCTACAAACCTATCAGGTCAAAGCACATCTGTTTATTTGATGTATATCACATATATACAAATTATTCTTTTGCAAGTACTTTTTTGATACATAATGGGGGCAGCTGTAACGAGGAAAAGGGAAATAGTTCTAATTGTGGGAACAAATTATAAGTACTGGAGTAACCCAGAAGTCTACATGCTGGTGTGCAGCCCGATAGAGAAAAGCTCCCAGGTAATTAATCCAGCCGATAACTGGGAAATTTCTCAAATCTTCAGCAAGCAAAACTACTCCTGCTCCCACTTCAATCTTATCCAAGCACTCTACACTCTTTAAGTAATTCATTTTAATAAAAAGTTACTACTGAGTAAGTAGAAATCTCAACAATTTATTTCCTATAATATAAAGTGGCGATAAAGATTGTTATTCTGAATCTAATTCTCAATAACAAAGTATGTAAATGACAGGTGATTTAGAAGCAAGTGATCTTGTCATTTTGGAAATCATTATTCTGGTGAAGATTAGATGCCATCCAATCTGATATTTAGAATGTGTATGTCAGAAGTTCGGAAAAGAATTGATTGCTCTTAAAGGGAAGGCATCTCAAGAGTCCCGAAAAAGTGCTGTAATTGTATTTCTGGTTTGCATTTTTAGACAGTCTTGATAAAAAAATAAATAAATAAGAGAAGGCATCTAGATAAGTACCATGGTGCATAGAATTTTTTCCCAAAAAACTTAGATTTTACTTTTATTTTATTTTTTTTTTAGTTGGAGTCTCACTCTGTCGCCCAGACTGGAGTGC